GTCCGGCCAGCCCGTGTCCATCGTGGTGGAGGGAGTCCAGGTATCCCTGCCCTCCTACGAGGAAGCTGTGTACGGCAGCGCTGGCACTTTTGTTCCGCCCCCTGAGTCACGTGTGCAGATCGTGTTGTCTGAGGGCCCTCAGGCAGCTGGGGCCCCTGCTCAGGAGGATGAGGACGGGGCCACCGCCGCTGCCCAGGCTGAATGCAACCTCCCCTCCACCTCCACCTCTTCCCGGCACTCCGAGATGGTGCTGGTCCATCAGGCGCCTTCGTCTTCATCATCCTCCTCCTCCTCATCCTGGTCCCCAGGGCAGGCATCACGGCCCCAGCGCCAGGACTCGGACAGCAGCGACCAGCACAGTCTGCTGTCCCTGGCCTCTGTGGAGGACTGTGCCGATGGTATGCCCTCCTCACACCTTGCTGATGAAACACTGCCTGCATACTCCATGCAAAGAAGTGCTGCCTGTTTAAGACCCTTTGTGATTTGACTGTGCATAATTAACTGGGCAAAAATTCCAGGGCTTTGTTTATATATGCGTTCACCTGTCCTGAGCTATAATTAAGGATAAATATAATTATAATAGTATATGTATTCATAATAAATGCAGAACCTATAGGTCCCTCATAGGGGATGTTAGCTGTCTGCTGTGCAGTGGTGGACCAGCAGGGGGCACCTGACTAGGGTTCTGTAGACTGTAGCTAAACATACTCCTTCCTTCCCTCTTCCTTGCAGATATTCCTCTACTGAAGGAAGCCTGAAGCCTTCGGCAGGACCCTCCTGGCTGCTCACCAACCCCCCCACCCCACCCCACCCCCACCCTGATGCAGCCGCTCTGTGAAGCACGCAGCCAAGCTGGCAGTTTGGGGACGGCCTGCCTTGCCCCCCCCCCCCCCAATTTCAAGGGGGAAAAAATAAATAAACATTATAGCCCCTATAGCAGACAGGCATTTAGTGGTCTTGCATCAAAAAGTATGTAATATATATATATTAAAAAAAAAATTATATATATATACACACACACACACAGATGCATTGTATATACTTTCATTTGCATTTTGTATGGTTTCTTGCAGTATGTCTTCACATTTTTTTAGGGGGCTCTCTGCTGTCCTCAGGCAAAGACCACAAAGGAAGCAAAAAAACAGCACTGATGCTAAGCACGTCCCCGTCCCCCCCCATGCCACACAGCGATGAAGCCACAATCTTCCAGGCGAGAGAATGCAAGGTTGCATTTAAGGTGTGATCTATATCTCAAATATTGGAAGGCCCCTTTTCTGAGACTGTTGGCTGGCTGGTAATCTATGTCGTGTTTGCCCCCTGCCACACGCTCTGGGGCATGCGCACACATGCCTAGTCTCTGACACGCCTGAGCCTCACCATGCGATGAAAGATGCATAAGACCCCGCACGCCCCTCCCCAGCTGCTGCGGTCAGGCAGGGGGGACAGAGAAGCGGGCAGACACAGCTGTGAGACGTCACGCTTGGTGAGCTGACCCTTTTCTCACAGGCCATGTCCATTTACGGCAAGATGTCGTCCCCATGAGCCCTTCTAGGCCTAGTGCTGCCAGCCAGGCTGGTTGCTATGGCTCTTTTCTGGGTGGTGTGGTGAGCAGCACCTATGTGTGCGTGTCAGTCCTTAAATGTTATCACTCTTCTTTTACACCAAGGAGTTTAGGCCCCTCTGGCCGCAGTTAGAATCTGAAGAACTGCAGCCAGTCAGTCAATGTTTGTCCTAAAAGAAACAGTCTGAAAAACAATTCTCTGTCCTTTGTTCCAGTGGCTTCATCATTCTGTTTGGTCTCATTCGGGATTTTAACTATGGGACTGGTGTCCATCCCCAATGACAGGGAGGCATGCTGTCTGAGGGTGCCGAGGGGGTCATTCTTAGTGTGTCTTGTTTTTGTCCTTCAAAAATCCTTTAAATCCAAGAAATTGTCTGAACAAAACATTTATCTGCATCTCCAGCTATGCAGATGATTACACAGCAGTCCTGTGGTGTTGGCTGTATTAGGTCATTATTTGGCCTGGCTTCTTGAGAAGTGATATCTTTACCATTTCACATTGTGTCTGCACAGAAATTAGAGAATCAGATTCGGATACAGAAACGAGTTCTCTTTCATGCTTCCCTCTGGAAATACAACACCGGCAAGTCATCAGTACTTGCATATTGTCAAGATTTCTCTGTCTGTATTCTCAGTGTGTGTTTTCAGTCCAGTTGCAAACCATTTTTGTGTTAAAATGGTTTGCAAACTCCAAACTGGAAAAAAGTGCTTCATTCCCCCCTCCCACGAGCTAACTGGGTTTCAGGGATGTCTGTCCCGCTCACTCTGGTTCCTTAGGCGTGGGACTTCACCAAGGGGGTTCAGCAGATTGGCATATGTTTCTGTCAGTCTTTATTTGTATTTTTTCACTTGCATCTGGCACAGTGATTCGTTTTTTATTTTCTGTTTTCTACATTAATTTTGTGTTGGCATCACGGCTTCTTGGATGGTCTCACGAAATGCAGGCAGGAATACAGCACCAATGACTCCTAATGGCCTTAGTCTTTGTTTCATATGGATGCACATTTTAGTTTATTTTTTCTTTCTGAAAACAGATGGACATGAGTATATAATGTCTGCTATTTCCCAAAGCTTTTTTGAAATGACAATGGTGAGAAGCCTCTCTGGAGATTTCAGCCTGAGCACCTAAAGATATTATTTGTATTTATTTTTGATTTATTTTAAAATTATTTGGGGGGGGGGGTGGCGTTTTGCTTGATCATATACACATCCATAGTGCTGTTGTATGGCACCACGTCCACTTGTTTTCCTAAAAAAAAAAAAAGGAAAAGTCCCGTTTGGTTGTTCTTTTCTCCAGCCTTTGTGCCACTGATAGACAGACCTGGACTTGCTACTTGTAAGAATTCAAAGCAATGATTTAATGACTAAATTGGAGCTGGGCAAAAATACTTTGTACAGATTGTTAATATTTTCTTTTGTTCTTTCAGTTTTAGACTTCCAAACTGTACATTGCAAATGGTGGTGAAGATAGTATTTTAATATTTGTATAAAGTTTAATTTAATTATATGCTGTATATATCTATTTCTAATTAAAGTTTTCTTTTGAAGTGTGAAAAGTGTCTTGTTGCTTAAATCCGGTATTAATCTAATGTTTGAGTGTCCAAAGACAAAGTATAAGGAAATACCAATATAATTTCAGAAAGACCCTGATAGGGTTGAGATTTGTAGAAAAGGAAACCATTTAAACAATGAATATAAGCATTCAAGTGATTGCGATGGTCCCTGGGTATGATGACTCATAATAACCAAAGGTTATAGCAAAGCACTTGGGTTATTTGTTGGAACTTCCATGGGTTTGTGCACTTTTCAGCTATAAGGTATAAATGTTACAGTTCACTTTGTCAGTAGGTGTTAGGAATCATATTTCAGGTCAAACTGAAGACGGACCCGCTTATAGGTAAATGTGTATTGATTGTAGTGGTCAGTTTCGGAGATGAACGTGATTCAGTGTTTCATTTTGTACTGATGTATTTTTAACATAAATATGTGCAAAGCTAACCTATCTAGTTCCTCATTAACTAAAACCAGACCAATGGGTAATTGTGATGCCTATAATTGTGAAATACTGTGTTTTGGCGCCACCACGTGGCTGTATTGTCCACTTTTGAGCAATTTACATCCTAATGGAGGAGTTTTGAGTCTGTGCAATGTGTGTGAGTAATTAATGTATACATATAATTGCATATGCATATTTTGACCTGTATTTTATATGCAATATTTACATACAATATTTTCAGTATATTCTTGATGCTATAAGTAGTGATTCTTAATTGTGTTTAAGAAAAGCCGATATTTTTTTCTATATTGTGTCAGATTCTAAGTTGTTGCCAGAGAAATTGTATTTTGTAAGGGCTTTTTGGAAGCCAGAGCTGCCATCATTCCCTGGACCAGATGCAGACATGCCGTGGGATGAATAGGGGCACTCAGTCCTCATTAGCCGGGTTGGCTTCCACAGCCAGCAGAAGGGGTGTGAACATTTTTTGAAGCAATACTGGAGAATCCAGGCTATTTATTTGAAATTATTACTGGGGTTTGTGGTGTGTCCACACCATAGTGTTTGTGTGTCGGCCTGGATGGCTTCCAGATCGCTAACTCTTGGGACAGTCGGAGGTGTCAGGGTGTAACCTTTACCAGCCAGCACTCTCAGATCCATACTAGAGAAGCCGCTCCCTTTGTCGTTTCAGCGGACGGTGTGTCTTTACTGCCGAGTCCAGCTGATCAGCAGCAACGCAGGCCAGAGCCCTGCACATTTTTGGGTTTCCCCTCATTTAACACACCTGATTCAACTCCTTGTGCTAATTACCACACAGCTCTCGAGCTGAATCATTTATGGTGGAACAGGGAAAGAACTAAGCTGCACAGGGCTCCGGCCCTCCAGGACTGGAGTTGGGCACCCCTGGCCTATGGTGTAAGCTATAAGGACGAGCATTCCCAGTCCTGTGTTTTGGTATGAATTTAAACAGATGAGCATTGTGTGCCTCTTGTTGAGCCCTTTGTTAACCCAGTATTTTCCAAACTCTACATTTTATGGTTTGGACTCGCTAGTCTGCACTCACCCTGGAACCTCACACCCTGTCAGGGTACAGCCACCACTGGTTCACTCAAAGGGACTCCTGCTGATGTCACGCAGCGTATGCAGCCACTGGATACTGTTTTATTATTGGCTGATTGAGAGGTCATCCCAGAAACCCGCACCCACAGCGGCTCTCCGTGGATCCGGTTCGCCACCCCTGTTCTATGTAGTTATTGTTAACGGAACAATAGATCCATATTGGAAGGCTGTTTTAGGCTTACGACTAGTTTTCCCTTCCATTTTACCCTCCTGATAGGGTGTTGTCAGCTACAGTGATTTAAGGAATGCTCTGGACAAACTCTCAGGAAAATAGATGAATGACAGGAAAAGCAAACTTACAGAGCCTAAAAAAAGAGGCAAGCCATCTTTGATTCATCAGTCTTTATTTTGTTTTGTGCTGCCGTATCGTTTGTCGAATGTTTTACATCCATGGATACTGTATTGGTAACAGCTTTAGAATCAGTTTCAGTAAATGATGAGGTAGTCCTTGTGTTCTGTAGTCCAGTGTTGAACTTCAAAGCTTGTCTTCATATGTAGGATCTATAGTTGCAAGTCAATGTCTCTAGGTGCTGCAGTTGCAGAAGTTACGCTCCCATCTCCCTGTGTACTGTCACAATCTCAGATCCAAATCACGGCCCCCAGCAGTTAGTTCTGTCCAACCCCGTTTTAGATCTCGCTCCATGAGCAGGTCTGAATCTTATAGCTGATCTCACCCAGCCAGTAGCTTCTCAGCCTGGAAGAAGCGGGCCAGGAGCTCTCCTTTGGGTCAAATCCAGTTCACTCCCAACCCTACGGAAACTCCTCCAGTCCTGTTCATCTCCACACAAATAAAACAAATTTCTTTGAATAGTCATTTATTTTTATAGGGTGATTTTATGAATGAAGTGAATGATCTTTGCCATGTGTTTTTCTTAATATAAATTCTGCAATATACAGTATATTCCTCATGTTAACACATAAATTGTGAAAAGTCTCCTAATTTATTGTGAATGATTTGTAAAAGACCAATTGACTATAGACTATGCATTCTTAGTTACAAAAGAATGTCTATTACACACAACTTTTATTATCTGAATATTTGTAATGATTTTATTACTGATTAGTGGTTTAAAATGAAAACTTTTATATTTTCTATATGCCTTGAGCATACTAACAGACTTATCAGTCTCCTATGAAATAAGGAAAATATTTTAGATATTTAATATTTAATACTGCACAAAAATCATTATTGTTCCAGGTGTATTTAACTACAATATACAAGTTATATTAATGAAAATTGGATTTCAAAAGTCTGTGATGCTCTGTATACAATGAACTTGCTTTACAGATGGTATTTTCTAATTTTGTACTGCACAAATGTATTATAAGATGTTCGATCTAGATGTTCCCTGGAGGTAGTATTGTAAATTAGAGCACAGATTAAAAACAAACCATCCAAACATGGTCACTTAATGTCTGTTGCTGCTCTTGGAATGATGTCCCTTTCAGGTCCACAGTTTCTTTCTTTTGCCACATGGTGTTTGTTGTTGCTGCATTTTGGCCATTTGCTGAAATTAGCTCCTGGGGTGACTCCTGCCATCAACTGAACGACTGTCCACTCCTAGACTGATGTCGCTTCCTCTGTGTTACCGTTCACAGTCACATACACTGTTTTCTCTGAAAGATATGTTTTTGTAGGGGACAAAAAGTCTAATGTAAGTACTTTGCTGAGAACTGGTCCAGTCACTTTAATGCATTCAGTACTGTTGACTGCAATGAAATACTTACTGTTGCTAGATGCCTTGAACCTTTGGTAACACCTGAACAGGATGGTAAGCAGTAAAGCTTCACCAACCTGGAAAGTGACGTAGATGAAGGGGAACAGGAAGAGGGGTCCAATGATCTCGTAAGGGAACACTACCTTCAGAACGGTGGTGCCAAGCTGGACATTTTGACAGCCAGTCTCCATAGCAATGGTCCTCCTACACCTGTGAAAGGACACTCCAGGTTTCTCAGATGTTCCCCCACAAGAGCACTTCCTGGCTGTGAGGTGCCCGCAAATGTATCCCACTGCATACAGAGGACTGACTAAATAATAGGTGGCAAAATACAAAAAAAAACAAAAAACATTTATATACGATTAATTAGAAATTCTAAGGTAGTTGCTTCCATCCATCCATCCATCATCTACCGCTTCTCCGGGTCGGGTCGCCGGGGGCAGCAGTCTAAGCAGGGAGACCCAGACTTCCCTCTCCCCAGCCACTTTGTCCAGCTCCTCTGGGGGGATCCCGAGGCGTTCCCAGGCCAGCCGGGAGACATAGTCTCTCCAGTGTGTCCTGAGTCTTCCCCGGGGCCTCCTCCCAGTGGGACATGCCCGGAACACCTCACCAGGGAGGCGTCCAGGAGGCATCCTGACCAGATGCCTGAGCCACCTCATCTGGCTCCTCTCAATGTGGAGGAGCAGCAGCTCTACTCTGAGTCCCTCCCAAATGACCGAGCTTCTCACCCTATCTCTACGGGAGAGCCCAGCCACTCTGCGGAGGAAACCCATTTCGACCGCTTGCACTCACGATCTCGTTCTTTCGGTCACTACCCATAGCTCGTGACCATAGGTGAGGGTAGGAACGTAGATCGACTGGTAAATCGAGAGATTTGCCTTTTGGCTCAGCTCCTTCTTCACCATGACAGACCGATGCAGCGCCCGCATCACTGCTGACGCCGCACCGATCCGCCTGTCGATCTCCCGCTCCATCGTCCCCTCACTCATGAACAAGACCCTGAGATACTTAAACAACTCCACTTGGGGAAGGATTCCCTCCCCAACCCGGAGAGAGCACTCCACCCATTTCCAGCTGAGGACCATGGTCTCGAATTTGGAGGTGCTGATTTTCATCCCAGCCGCTTCACACTTGGCTGCGAACTTCTCCAGTGAGAGCCGAAGGTCACGGTCCGATGAGGCCAACAGAACCACATCATCTGCAAAAAGCAGAGACCTAATCCTGTGGTCACCAAACCGGACACCCTCAACGCCCTGGCTGCGCCTAGAAATTCTGTCCATAAAGGTTATGAACAGAATCGGTGATAAAGGGCAGCCCTGGCGGAGTCCAACCCTCACCGGAAACAAGTCCGACTTACTGCCGACAATGCAGACCAAGCTCTGACACCGGTCATACAGGGACCGAACAGCCCTTATAAGGTAGCCTGGCACCCCATACTCCCGGAGCACCCCCCACAGGACTCCCCGAGGGACGCGGTCGAATGCCTTCTCCAAGTCTACAAAGCACATGTAGACTGGTTGGGCAAACTCCCACGCACCCTCCAGGACCCTGCTGAGAGTACAGAGCTGGTCCTCTGTTCCAGGTAGTTGGTTAATTAATTAAATTAATTAAAATGCAACTTTCTTCAAACTGTCACGGTTAACACCTTGCAAGGACCAATTGAAATACCGTCTGTTTTGTGTGAATTCTGTTATGTCGAGCAAGGATGCGTTAAGATCGCTGTATTGAAAGCATTTGTATATCATGTAGCTGCAGCTGAGTCACACCAGATGGCGCCAGTTTCATTTCTACTTCAACTGGAATAACAGTGCACAAATCATTTTGTTATGGCAGTCTAATAATTCTGAGATAGATATTTGACCAAACAGTGTTGCAGCTTTTTGAATTAAGGTTGAATAATTTTATTATTATATTATATTATTGCATTAACCATATAATAACCACAATACACTCCTGGACCCCAACCAGGATTAACATTTGAAAGCAATGGATATATTTAATGACTAACTTTTCTTAAAAGTAGTATATTCACAGAAACATAACAGATTTTACATCTAATATTATAATCAATTATAACCACTGTGAGTTTACTTACTGCTGGTTGAGATTGAACAAAAAGGACATCATGTAGCCAAAGAGGAAGCCGATTATTGGCATGAGAGCCGCCGTTGCTACCAGTGGAGGTGACAGGACCGGCCTGATTGTATCTCTAACCGCGATGCCACACAGGATGAAGATCACAATGGTGGTGACCACTAAGGCGCTGAGACCAACCTATGGGGCACAGATTGATCACACTGAGAGAAGATGTGGTTTTTTTTGCACCAGGTTAAGAGTTCTGGTAATAATTTGCCCTAGGTTTACATAACATTGTAGGTTACACTTATAAGGCATACACTGATGCCTGTAGAAAGAGGGGTTTGCATCCTGATTCAGCTCTGGAGCGGTGGCTCTGAGGCTAGGGATCTGTAACAGCGACTGGAAGGTTGTTGGTTCAAAAACCCATGAATGCCAGGAGTGATCCTACTCCACTGAGCCCTTGACCTGCAATTGCTTTGTCCTGGGTATGATGTTGATCTACATCCAGCCCTATAAGGAGGTCCTCCAACTTACAGGGAAAAACCTGGGGGTTGGTGGCAGGATTGGCCCTCCAGCCACTGGGGAGAAAAAAAACACACACTGGTCCATTTGGACTAGTGTGGTGCTGAGGTATTGCCTGCCATATGGCTGCACTCGGGTTCAAATCCCTGAGATGGTTTGTCATGGTGGGTGTGGCAATGTGCTGTAATCAGTACATGCTCCTTACCTCTCTTTCTGGGCCTCAGAATATCTCAGGATCAGTCATCCTCACCTTGATGATGATGGGGGAAAAGCGAGGTGCCCAGTGGTTGATGGCGATCCCGATGGCGCAGGGGACAAGGGTCAGCACCAGTGCCAGGGTGATGCCGCCGTAAGGAATGGCACTCTCCAGGCCGTAGATGCCCTGGTAGTACATGTACAGGAGCAAGGGCATCATTCCAAAGCCCATGACGTTGGAGAACGTAGTCAACAGGATGCTGAGAGAGTGTAAGAGAGAAAAATCGGGTGCTGAGGCTTATTTTGATTGTGACATTACTTTTGTGTCTCATGGCTTCTACAAAATGCAGACGAAAGGTTAAATTTGTGGAGAATTCACCCTTATACATTATCAGGCCTCCAGTCTTAGGCATTGACTGTGAGACTCGTGCATTTCAAACAGTTCACACCCTCACATGCGTTTCTCACGCTGAGACGTAAGGGATAACGCCCACCAAGGCGCAGGCATACGGAGTGGAGTTCTCTGCCGAGTTCATAGCTGAGTTCATAGCTGCCCCCAGTTATACAGCGTTAACATCCGCCTACCAGCCAATCAGAAAATAGCATTTGTTGTTTCCGGGTAAATTCTAAAATAAGTTACATGCGATCCCGCTGCAAACACGTTATTATATAGATGCGCACACACACGTGCAGGCAAGGTGGAAGTGGCAGAGCAAGATCCGATGAAAGTGGTAGGCAGGGCTCTGAAGTCTCAAGCATTGGCCGCTGCGCCCCTAACAGATGTAATCGCACTCCAAACTTTTGGTGAAACTCGAGAGCCTTGGTTTATGCATCTTAGACACCTTATAAATAGTTATAAACTTAAAACAAGATTTGATATTGTTTTTTCTTTCCTAGATTGTTATTTAGTTGCTTAGCTCAGTTTTGTCCAACCTTTTTCTGCCATGCCACACTTTCCGTAAGGTAATTATCCCAGGGCATGTCATTATACACATTGCTTAAACCAGTGAAAGTACATTTTTAATATACACAGTACATCTGGTTACTTATAACAGAACACTAGTGTGCTGTGACACACCACAGTTGAAAAGTGCTGGTTTAGCTGATACTGTTTTCAGAACTTTAAAAGGTATATAGAGATGAAGGTGGATATTTTAAAGAAGAAATTTCAATAAACTCTTTTTTCATGGCACAGTAGCTCAGCAAGTAGCACTATGCCTCACACCATAGGGTTGTGGGTTTGAATCCCATTCATGCTTGGTGTGTTGTGTATGTGCTATATGCGTGTTCTCCCTGAGTTATTTTGATTCCCTCACCCAGTTCAAAAAGATGGACTAATTCAGTGTTTTCCAGTCCTCCCTTCCAACTCCCTGGCAGACAGTCCACATTTTTGCTCCCTCCCAGCTCCTGGTGGTCTCTGAGGATTGGGTTGGGAAGCACTGGACTAATTGGTGTCTCTAAAATGGAGTACGTATGTATCCTGGAATAGACTGACATCCTGCCCTGGGAGTATCCCAGCCCTTGGCTTCTTGTGATGAGCTTCAGGTCCGCCCGGTACCCCTGACCTGGACAGGCACTTTCAACACAAATGGATCTTTCCGCCTATCTTCAGTTCAACCTGTTCCTTTTTATTGGCCATTCTGTAAATAAGTGGAATTGTTTCAAAAACACTTTATTATTTTAATGGCCAAAAAGGAGTCATTAAAATCAATAAATCTACGTTGTTTCAGTGGGAAGCAGACAGCATGATTTTTAAGGATATACGAAGGTACTCTGAATCACATCCCAAATGATGCCAATTTGTACAAATGGACTCAATACCTAAATTATTTCAGTAATGCACCCAGTTGTATAAATGTTTTTTTTCTAAAATCAAGCTGCTTTGTAACATAGTTGTAAATTTGTTTTAGTTGTGTTTTGAGAGGCAAGACAGACTGTCATCACACAAGTGATCAGACCGGTTTTTGGAACATAAACAACCTCAGGAAGTCTTACGTCAGCTGCCCTCTGTGCTTCCTACCCAGCAGCAGCCAGGTCACTCCCTCAGCGGGTTTAGAACTACGGGGTCCTGGAAGGGCCACAAACACTTTTTTTTTTTCTTGTGCGCACAATTTAGCTGAACCCACAAAATACTAAACTGATTTCACGAAATCCCCCCCTCCCTAGTGTAGAGGGGCTAGGCATTGGAGGAGTAGGGATTAGATAGGGGGGGGGGGCATGAAAATTAAATATTACTGGATTTCTTCAATGGAAAGAATATCTAAGATCCATGAATTCCTATCTTTGTTCTGCAGCACATTCTTCCAAAGCACTGGCAAAAAGCAAAGCCGGTTTTGTTCCCTCTTTTGTATCCTGTATAATGAGATTAATGAACTGGCTTCACCTCAGGTTCATGTCACCATGGAGACCCAGGGTGAAAATGTTGGACAGGTTTCCCCCTGGACAGCAGCCGCAGATCAACACAGTCATGGCTGCCATAGGTTCCAGCTGGAAGATCTTGGCAAAGGTAAAGGCTGAGAGGGGCATGATGCCATACTGGGCCACTATGGCGATGGCTACTCCTTTGGGCTTGGCGATGTGCTCCCGGATCTTGGCGACCTCCATCTTGCAGCCCAGGGATACCATTGTGATGAAGAGGATGATGATGAGGACACCACCAATCACCTGATCTATGACTGGAGAGAACTCAGACTGGAATGTTACAGAAGAATTATACTCTGTGATGTTAGAGGTGCTTGCATGGTCCCAGAACTGGTAGCTGTTGGTCTGGTTCTTTGTGGAATTCATTCCTAAGCTGTTCTTTTATTGTTCCCAGGCTGATTCCTGGGTACAGCAAGTCAGAAAAAAGACATTTAATCTACACATCACAACCAGGATGTACCCCCAAAATTTTTCAAGTCCCCCCCCCCCAACAGAGAGACCCCTCCCCCACCCCTGGCACAGCCTCTGTCTGGCGTGTTTCTTGAATAACCCTGGGGTACCTGCATATAATGACATTTCCAATGCACTGTGACCCTGCGGACCCAGGGAATGGACAGATTTACCTGCCTTTTAAAATAACCTTAGGCAGGATACTAATCCCCTTTTCTACAGTTGATAATGAAACTGCAGACAGGATTTCATCGCACTGACAGGTGAGTGCTAATATGTGCCAAGGTCTGGGCTTTTAGGGGAATCTGTCAGTGAGAAGGCCTTCAGGACGGAGCACCTCTCTAACTGAAGTAAACCTGAGACCAATGTCCAATTCCAAGAGGGGTCCCTGTTGCTTTCTCATTGGCATGACGGGTCGGTGGCAACGCCCCAGAGGCGGAGCCAAGTGTCTCCTCATTGACTCTCAGTTACTTCCATCATCTTCAGTTCCGCCCCCAGATGTCTTTGGTGCCGTGTAGCTGGTGCCAGGAGTCATAGGTGTAAATGGTGTGTGTGATGACCCAATAGGAATGCTGCCAGTGTTAACTCCATCTACTTATCAGTCGAGACAGGACCCTGAGTCCCCATCTGGTGAAAGTTTCCCGGACTTGAATAAAGACTCCTGGCCTCCTAGCCATCAGCAGGGAGGGGTGGGCTTCTGGGTCAGGCTATGAGCTGCCCCGCCATGTCCCACGAAGGCACCAAGTAAGCCACTCATTAAATTATTACAGCACATTGCTTGTTATGTAACATCAGTCCCTGCCCTCGTTTCCATTCAGTGCTTTTAAGTGCTGCCATTTCTAAAGCAACCAAACAGCAAACAAAAAGTGATCTATAAGCTGTTCATTCTGCCGTCCTTCACTGGCACTTTATACACTCACCTAAAGGATTATTAGGAACACCTGTTCAATTTCTCATTAATGCAATTATCTAATCAACCAATCACATGGCAGTTGCTTC